TTCCAGTGAAATATATTTATGTTTGTGGTTGTAATGTGACAAAATATGGAAAAGTTCAAGGGGTATGAATACTTTTGCAAACCACTGTAAACTTGGTTTTTCTTCTGTCCTGAAGGTGTGGGGCCTGGTCAGGACAACGCGGCGCTATCTTCAGAAGGGTTATTCCACCGTCACTCTGCGTGATGGAGACTTCTACTTCTGTTATTTCCTCTGGTTTGAAAATGAAACTGTAAGTTACCAGCTTTTCTAATCTTAATTAATAGAATAGCAGCTGATCTATTAGAAATAAAGTTAAAAGTAATGTTTTCATGTGATCAATCAGGGGTACAAGCTAGACTCAGTGAACATACCCGAACTATCTGATGACTCCCCACCCATCGGGATGCTTGCCTGTGATTACTACAAGTAAAAAAACCACAAAAAATTAACAGTTAATTCAGAAGGCTTAAACTTCAGTTTTAACTATGCTTTTTATCCTGCAGGAGGTTGCTTCGGTACTACAGTAAGAACCATAAAGGTGAGACGGTGAAGTGCTACGAGCTCCTGACTGTCCATCTGGGGGTCATCCCCACTGAGATCATCCTCCAGCACTGCAGACAGCTCGCAAGCAAACTGTGGGAGCCGTCACGCAACCCGCTGCTGTAAACGGGCCCGTCCCACTTCACCGGAGTGCCACAAGTTGTTGGTTTAGGAGTCCACATATTTCTTGTGATTTAAAGTTGGATTTCTTTTGTGTAGAAGGTTTAGTATGCTGAAATAATTTATTGGAACACGTCTGTGATCTGCACAACAAATTACCATTGCACACTTTTTGTTTATTTTGCATTTGTACGTGTTTTATGAAGAATAAAAAGAAAATCATCTGTTTTGTAGACGTTGACCCATTTCCTATTTATTGGTAAACTGTACTTTCACGTCGTAAACATTGTTGAAATTCCCCCATTTTGAAGTGTTTCTAGTCTGTATTATAGTATTTTTTATTAAAGTTTTCAGGAAAGTTTATTTGAAATGACATCGAGCTGATCTCAGCAAACACAAAAATGGCTGTTTTTACAAATACTGAGCTAAAACTGGGTGTTTGCAAACAATAAAATGTAAGAGTTAACCCTGTGTATCTGTTAGCAAAATATTTTAGTTCACCTTTCAGAAAGTAATAATTACATGTAAGTGATTAACTTCTTGTCATGATTCAAGGTGGTCACCAAAGCTAACCGACATCAGCATGCAAAAAAATAAAATTTCAGATGTTATTGAGCTGAATTTAGGTGTTACTGTAGCTGAGAGTTGCACCCTGAGTCCTAACCGATCCTCACAACCTCTAAACTTAGGCTTTATTACTGTACTTACATTAGCTGATACATCAAGTTCATTGAGTTAGAATTAGAAATCCAAGTGAGTCTTTACAGTCCTTTAACATTTACAGTCWGTTAAGCCTGGAGGCTGTAAGCGTATTAAAGGTCAGACCCACACTGGGGAGGGTTCTGTGCAGAAGAAGCTCACAGCAAGAAGCAGGGAGTGCATAGAAAGTTCATTGCATCGTCACTCTTCAGCTCAAAGGGCTCCTGTGAGGTCGGTCACGGCTCCCGAAGACACCAGGTCCCTCAAGAAGAGTTTTTCAGCACTGATGTCATGCACCACCTGGATTTGAAATGAAGAAGTAAATCCCACAAAGCTCTGGGGCTTCCTTAATGCTGTTTGATCACTGGTCTAAAACTTACTTGAGCCTTCATGGAGTCCATGCGTATGGTCTCGTAGTAGTGAAGCCTCGCCTCTGGGTGGTGCATGTCGTAACCAAAGCCTGCCAGGCTCACCTGGTCACACAGCTGCAAAGCCATCACTACAGCACTGGCTCCCAATGTTGGCACCATCTTTTTAAATACACATTTTTTTTTTGTAGCTATTAGAACTTATTTCTGCTAAATACGGCAAAGTTGTGCTTCTTATTCTTTCTTATGCTAATTAAAATGTTTCCAGCTACTTTTTAGCTATTTTACTGAAAACTTCGGCTGTTTTAGCTATTGTACTACAAATGATAACTTTTTAGTAGTTTTATGGGGGGTTTTTTTCTGCTAATTTTGAATTTTTTACAAACATTTCACCATCTGGGTGCTACTTTCAAATTGAGTCTGCTACCTTTAGCTTATTTTTATGCTAAATAGCTTTTTGCTGCTATATTAGCTAAAATTGTACTCTTTTCTGCTATTCTTGTGCTTTTCTCTGCTTTGTTATATTTTTCTGCTAATTTGTGCTATTTATGCTTCTTATAGTTGCTTTCTTCCATATTCAGCTGTTTGCTACAAATTTAGCTAAATTTTAGCTGTTATTAGCCAAAGTTAGCTTTCTAAGCTACTTACACATTTTTTTGGAGCTGTTTCAACTTAATTCTGCTAAACTCGGCAAACTTGTGCTCCTTATGCATCCTTATGCTAATTAAAACATTTCCAGCTATTTTTTTTTAGCTATTTTACTGAAAACTTCGGCTGTTTTACACATTTTACTTCAAATGATCAATTTTTAGTAGTTTTATGGGATTTTTTTCTGCTAATTTTGAATTTTTAACATCCATTTCACTATCTGGGTGCTACTTTCAACTTGAGTCTGCTACCTTTCGCTTTTTTGTGCTAACTTTAGCTTTTTGCTGCTATATTAGCTAAAAGTTGCATATTTCTGCTATTCTTCTGCATTTTTCTGCCTTTTTATACTTTTCTTTTTGTGCTGTTCTTATTGTAACTATTTTGAACTGAGTGTTTGCTCGTTGTAGTTTAGACGATTGGGATGTGACACATTCTCCAGTTTCTATAATTGCAGCACTGCATTAAACATATACRATATTCTAAAATGCAAGCAGAATCTTGATTAAATATGTATAATAACTCACATTCTTTTGCTTCAGAGCATATTTCTGCAAGGCTTGCTCTGTTTTGTGAATAATTTCTGGGTGGAGGATCCTGAAGCTTTCCGGTTTCAGGGGGATGTCATCCACCACCTCCCTCCAGAACCACATTTTAGACCAGAAGCTCTATTTAAACACACACACACACACACACACACACACACACACACACACACACACACAC